CCGTTCCAGTGCCTCATCACCCTCACAGTAAAGAACTTCTTCCTCATATCTAAGCTGAACTTCCCCTGTTTAAGTTTGGTCTTGTTTCATTCTTTTATGTTGTAGTTAACTAGTGAAAACTACCTAACCCCAAGTGGTTATGGGAAGGCCTTGCTGGTGATTGTTAGATGTGTTGTGGTTTACAGCTGCCATGCTGCTGGGCATGTGGCTGCACGTGTGTTGCTGTATATTTGTTAGCAGGAACATCAGTTACATTCAATACTGCTACAAGAAATCTGTTGTTACACTGTCCCCATGAATCAATGTCTGTGTTTATTCTCCTGCAGAGACACCATCCTTGATTCATCCACTGGAAGACCATGTGGTGTCTGTAGGTGAGACTGTGGCTCTTCAGTGCAAAGCCACAGGGAGCCCACCTCCCCGCATTACCTGGCTGAAAGGCGACCAGCCCCTGGTCGTGACAGAAAGGCATCACTTCACCTCTGGCAATCAGCTGCTGATCGTGAGGAACGTTGTCTTGGAAGATGCTGGGAAGTATACCTGTGAGATGTCCAACACGCTGGGGACAGAGCGTGCTCACAGCCACGTGAGCATCCTGCAGTCTCTCGGCTGTAGGAAGGACCGCACCACGGTGGGGATCATCACCATTGCCGTGGTGTGCAGCATCGTGCTGACGTCTCTGGTCTGGGTCTGCATCATCTACCAAACCAGGAAGAAGAGTGAAGAATACAGTGTCACCAACACAGGTAGCTCTAGTTTCCTGCTAAGGCTTCCTCTAACCTTTTGTGCTGTCTGATTTCCCGCTGAGGCTGGGTCAGGTAGCTGTGCCATCACATTGGGAAAGCAGTTGGCTTATCTCGGTGGTTCTCTTGGCTCAGGAAGCTGGAACCAGCTTTCAGTTGCTGCTGAAGCATGTTCAGAGCTGCGTTTCTCCCCTTGGCTTGCTCTTCAGAAAGATCTGTTCCACTTGGCAGTAGTTTCAGCCATTGCTGTGCTACTTTGATTTTTCCATGACCATAAGTGATAACTCTTGAGACAGCCTGGATTATGTCCATGATTTTGGGAACCTGTCTTACTTCTTGGGAATCTGTATTTTCAAAGACTTTGTACTCAAAACTTGAAAAATAAGACTTTGAAGCTGGAATCCCTTTTTCCATCCTGCCTGGAAGAGCTGTTGTAGCCCTGCTGATGAGAGGTATCCCTCTCATTTTATTGCTTCCTTTGGATAATTCAAAGGGGATAATTCGGTGCTGAAATAGGCGTTGCAGTGAGAATAAACTCCCCTGCCCTCAACATTAGGCAGCCTCTGAACAGAAGTAGGGAAGAACCATAGTCTGGAAAATCTACAGCTTTGTGCCTGGCATCATTGAGTTTCACTTGGGTTTGTGTGACAGGGGAAACTGAAATTGCCTGATTGAAAATGGGGAAAGCAAGGATAGCCAGGGTAAGCCTTACCTGCCTGCTTAAGGGAATCAAAGGCCCTGTTCTCCAGAAGTCTTACTCATGACTTTGGAAGACAGAGGACTTGAGTCACATTAGGTACTCTGAATTTCAGGGGAAAAGGAAGGATTTACTTGTTCTGAAGAGACAGTTCCACCTCCACCTACCTTGTACTGCTTGTTACGGTACATTTTGTGCACTGGCCATGCCAAGTGCAAGCACTCAAAATGGCTTTGTCAGCACTTTTAAGCTTTGGAAAATCAGGAGTGGGGCTTCCGAGGGGAATGGAGTATTTGAGGCAGTTTGGTTTCCATTGCATCTACCGAAAATGACAGTTACCGATCTGGTCCCAATTCCCTTTTGAAAACGTGGTTTTACGTGCCTTTGAAAACAAAAGTCTTAGTGGGAACTGACATTTCTGTGCTCCCATTGCTCTAGATGAGACTATTGTGCCTCCTGACGTGCCGAGCTACTTGTCTTCCCAAGGGACTCTTTCTGACCGGCAGGAAGCGGTCATCAGAGTCGATAACCAACAGCCCAATGGGCACATCGACAGCAACGGTGAGAGCCACTTTCCTTGTTCCTTCTGTGAGACCTGAACGTGGTGGGAGGAGGTGGAAATCTCAGCACACAGGACTTCTGTGCTTGTTATGGGTTATCTGAGGGATCTTCATAATGTAGTTCTCCAGCTCCTGTGTTTGTGCAGAACGAGGATGTGTCTCTCGCTGCACAGAGCTATGCTCTCCCGGTAATAACAGTGTTCCTACAAGCAGACTGCTTCAGAAACTGCTCACTCGGGCCCTAAGGACTTATTTTTTTGCTAATTTTGGATTAGCTTTTTGGCACCGAGTTACTCCTAGTTAAGCTCTACTAGAAAATACATTACTGTTGCCTGGCCCTGCCTTCAGGCTTAGGAATTAAATGTTGGGGTTTTACAGTATTTAAAGGCAGCACGTCGGGCAGGAGCAGCTCAGTGTTCTGAATGAAGATTCTCCTCGGGTTGTACAGCATTTGTTCTTTTAAACATTAGCTTAAAATTATCTCTGCTGCTATTTTTCCCCCCTTTCACAGTGTTCACAGTAGAAATAAGACTAACAAAGTCACTTAACTGAGCAGATGGTTGTAATCTTTAGCCAAGACGGTTCGTTTGTTACAGGTATGTGTCAGACCGATGCTGGAAGGTGTCCAGATGTTGAAGCTCCCACTGTAGGTTGCCGACAGCCAAAGCTGTGTATTGGCTATAATAAAGACACTTGGAAAACCGAAGAGATGGCTGATGGAATGCTTGTTTCAGATAAGACAGGTACAAACCCCATTAATCTGGAAAGGGTATATTGGTGCAGAGCAGAAAGCCCTCCCAGTCAGACAGCATTAAGACAAGAGATTGTTCCCTTCAGAGAAGAAAAAGCTCTCAGGTGTGAGCACAGTAAATTTACTTTCTCCTGCTCTCTTTGATCCTGGATAGAGCTTGGGTAGCTTCAATCAGAGGAACTGTCAGAAAGAGGTGACTAAAGCTCACAGTTGCCATTCCTCGCAGCTGGCCGATCGGTATTTTGAGTTGAGCTATTCCTAAAATGCAAAAGCACTTTCAAGCCGAAGGTGTTAAAATGTTTCATGCTCTTTAAAGGAGCTGTCAACTCCAGAGCTCAGCTCTGGCTTTTCATTTGCAAAACTTAAAGGTTATTTTGGGCACTACACCTGCCTCTGCTCTTTGCCAGTTCCTTGGGTGTTACACTCGCGCTGTTCTATTTGTAGCTGTGTTTTCTGTTCCTGTGCTGTATTGTAATAACCACAGAGAAACAGCCCGTGAAGCACGTTTTCTCTCCAGGAGAAACTGTAAAGTTTAATAATGGAAAGTTGTCGAGTGCACTGAGGAAATTAACTTTCAGTGTTTAGAAACTCCTTCTTGCTTTGAGTTCTGTTCCTGTGTTTGTTAATACCACTGACAGCAACAGCGTAACTTAACAGTATGAGTTGACAGTGTAAAGCAGCAGCACAGAACTAAAAAAGTAACTTTGTGTTTTGAAGCACAAGGGAAGTTCCACTTTCTGTTTCTACCCTGACTGGAAAGTCTGGAAAAGGAGATAAATACATTAAGGAAATAAATACATAAATATAAAACTTAATTTAAATATTTATTTTAAAGAAATTCACAACTTTTTTGGAGTAAAATAAAACCCAACCAACTAAATCTATCTATTGTAACAACCTTACTACCTTTAGTTATAGCTGGAGTTCTGATAGACACAGGTACTTCTAGCCCTGTGTAAACCCAAGGAAGGGCTGTATCGGTGATTCCCCCACTGCCTAAACAGAGCTGCCTTTTCTTCCCTTCTGCAAGTTGTGCCTCAGTGCTGACAGATTCCAGCTGGTTGATGTGTTTGTTGCTGCTCTCCCTTCCAGGCTACGGGCTGCCCGTTGTGTGCACGGACTGCAGTGGCAGCACGGACAGCACCAACGTCCACATTTACCCCAAGGAGGCCGAGTACTACTCTGAGAGCCTTAAGACTCTGGAGAGCACCTGCCCAAACGCACTGAGCAGCAAGGAGCGCAGTAGGAAGCGGGGTGCAGGCACCAGCCTTCTTCATCCTCAGCCGTGCAACGGGATTGCCAGCGGCAAGAGGGTGGACACAGACGGGACCCTCTACCCCAGCAACCACGACAGAATAAGAGCTGTGAGCACCACCAGCCCGCTGCTTGCAGACAAACAGGGTATGTGTTCCCTTGGGGATGTCTCTTTCCCCCCTGATGCAGTGTAATTCCATCCGGGTTATAGGAGAGCCCTGTTTTCTCCCATTGGCTTTTT